TACATCTATCTGTGTAATGGAGAGTGGAGTCACTTCCTGGCAGTTGGCATATGATGCGTCTTTGAACACCGTCTACTCTTATCTTGTCTGTGTTCTCCGTGTTAGAGAAGATAAAAGAGCAGTATTTAAGGGAAGGTCGTACACACATTTTATAGAGGGTAAGCATAGCCTCTGTTGTGAAGAAAGTATTCGTTACGAAACCAGTTAACCGTCTAGATTTAAAAATAATAGAGGAGGCATGTTCTTCAAAGTTTAGGCTTCCTGTGTAATTAATTTCTAGATGGTGTACTGACTTCAGTGTCTAGATTCTACTTTTATTTAAGTAGATTTGCAGTTCATAAGGATGCCGCATTAGTGGACGGGAGTTCAACGAATAGCTGAAGCTCTTTACAGTCTAGTAACAAGGATATTAGCATTTTGAATTTGGTAAAACTGTCACAGTTACAGATAGGTATGAGCAACCTGTTCTACAATAAACTATACCACACTGTAAACAACCTACAACGCATTTGTTTTTTGATGTTTTACGGTATGTGGTATATGTGTGTGTGTTGTTTCTTAGTCTATAGGCTAGTTCATGGATCATAGTTGGGCAGGAGGTTAGAAATGAGAGTCAATTTATTGCTTTGTAAAGAAATATTAGATGGTTCTTTTGCCTACGGTGCCACAAAGGTTCTTAAGAGAGGTGTTTACATCTATCTGTGTAATGGAGAGTGGAGTCACTTCCTGGCAGTTGGCATATGATGCGTCTTTGAACACCGTCTACTCTTATCTTGTCTGTGTTCTCCGTGTTAGAGAAGATAAAAGAGCAGTATTTAAGGGAAGGTCGTACACACATTTTATAGAGGGTAAGCATAGCCTCTGTTGTGAAGAAAGTATTCGTTACGAAACCAGTTAACCGTCTAGATTTAAAAATAATAGAGGAGGCATGTTCTTCAAAGTTTAGGCTTCCTGTGTAATTAATTTCTAGATGGTGTACTGACTTCAGTGTCTAGATTCTACTTTTATTTAAGTAGATTTGCAGTTCATAAGGATGCCGCATTAGTGGACGGGAGTTCAACGAATAGCTGAAGCTCTTTACAGTCTAGTAACAAGGATATTAGCATTTTGAATTTGGTAAAACTGTCACAGTTACAGATAGGTATGAGCAACCTGTTCTACAATAAACTATACCACACTGTAAACAACCTACAACGCATTTGTTTTTTGATGTTTTACGGTATGTGGTATATGTGTGTGTGTTGTTTCTTAGTCTATAGGCTAGTTCATGGATCATAGTTGGGCAGGAGGTTAGAAATGAGAGTCAATTTATTGCTTTGTAAAGAAATATTAGATGGTTCTTTTGCCTACGGTGCCACAAAGGTTCTTAAGAGAGGTGTTTACATCTATCTGTGTAATGGAGAGTGGAGTCACTTCCTGGCAGTTGGCATATGATGCGTCTTTGAACACCGTCTACTCTTATCTTGTCTGTGTTCTCCGTGTTAGAGAAGATAAAAGAGCAGTATTTAAGGGAAGGTCGTACACACATTTTATAGAGGGTAAGCATAGCCTCTGTTGTGAAGAAAGTATTCGTTACGAAACCAGTTAACCGTCTAGATTTAAAAATAATAGAGGAGGCATGTTCTTCAAAGTTTAGGCTTCCTGTGTAATTAATTTCTAGATGGTGTACTGACTTCAGTGTCTAGATTCTACTTTTATTTAAGTAGATTTGCAGTTCATAAGGATGCCGCATTAGTGGACGGGAGTTCAACGAATAGCTGAAGCTCTTTACAGTCTAGTAACAAGGATATTAGCATTTTGAATTTGGTAAAACTGTCACAGTTACAGATAGGTATGAGCAACCTGTTCTACAATAAACTATACCACACTGTAAACAACCTACAACGCATTTGTTTTTTGATGTTTTACGGTATGTGGTATATGTGTGTGTGTTGTTTCTTAGTCTATAGGCTAGTTCATGGATCATAGTTGGGCAGGAGGTTAGAAATGAGAGTCAATTTATTGCTTTGTAAAGAAATATTAGATGGTTCTTTTGCCTACGGTGCCACAAAGGTTCTTAAGAGAGGTGTTTACATCTATCTGTGTAATGGAGAGTGGAGTCACTT